CTGACTGTGTCAACGTGTACATGTATTTCTACCTCTTCATCAACGTTGGCGCTCTCGTCAGCCAGATCACCACGGTGTACTCTGAGAAGGTCTGTCTTGCCTTTTATTTTATTTTCAAGACACTAACTAACATTACCCAACCCGCCTTAGTACATTGGCTCTGGCCTGCATCATATGTTCTAGTCTTCATAAATTCTGCTAACTCATGTCGCTTGCAGCCATTGGACCATATCAGCATCATCTGTGGTGACAAAAAATGTGCAGTAGCCTGTAAGTACCCTCCACCAACATTTTTCTCATTCACAACATATTTCTGTTCAGGGTCACAAGCTTCAGTTCGCCTCGCCTTGCCACAACTGCCGGTATGCCCCAAAGTGAGTCAGAAACTTCTCCATGGCCTCTTTAACGTAGTGATGTGAGTACAATTTATAGGTTCACGACACAAACTAAACTATTTCAGGGCAAACCGTAACACAGCTGATCATAGCTCTGGCAGCGCAGCAACGCTCCTCCAGCTCGTTGATGTTCCTTTGTTGATCATGTCTATAATCTAACTACCTTGATTCGTATACACGTTCGCATGTAGTTTGCAATGTCTGCTGTATTTTAGACACATTCTAATGCAACATTGTTATGTAATTGAATGTGCGAGTGAGGGAAAACCAAGAGTATTTGGTCGGGAATGTGCAGAAGATTTCTCGGAAAGTGGTCCAAATTGCCGGCAAGTTGGAGGTAATTTGGCGGGGGGGATCCAAAGCGAGGCAATCAAGGCAATCAAGGGAATTTGGTCCAAAAAAGGCCAAGTTGGGGGAAATTCGCGCCAAACCCACCAAATTGCCAGGGGGCCATTTTCCTGATGGGCGTACCTAATACAATACCTATGTAACAATGCTCAGGCTATAAGTATGTTCATTTCAAGTTAATTTGCATTTGTGAAGTTGTCAGTGTATTGGCAATTTGAATCTCACGGATGGCGGCAAGATGGTGGGGGTATTCAAGCTGAAATCCGGAGAAGGAAGGCCCAGTGGCGGGTGATCCGCGTCTGTTTCTGATATCAGCTCACGTGTTTGGTATTCAGTGGAATTCGAAAAAGCCTGATTCGGCGGGCCTAAGCCATTCCTGACTTTCAATATATCGAGGAACGAGATCAGAAAATATGGAAATGTCTGTCTGCGAGAGACTATTCCTGACTCAAGTTAGCTGGAGACAGAAGGCTTAATTTTAGGGCGGCAAGTCCGAAATCGCTTACATTTAGGGCACGGGAATAAAAGTTACTTAGACCGCCATAAATCTCTGCTGTACTTTGCTACCTACAATATATTGCATTTCATTGGGATGGCCTGAGCACATTTTTTCGAGCAGTCCCGCGAACATCGATATTGATTTACTGACATAAAGTTGAAGATGGACTCAAAACGAGCCCAATGAAGGAGGTGCTCGAGGACTGATTGCGATTCGGAGTAGAAACCAAGTCTAGCTTATCTAACACTAAAATCCTCCCCAACATCCCACCGCTGGCGCACACTTTTTTGCCGCCTGGTTCTCTCGCGGCGCACTTTGAAGTCCCTCCGCCGCTAGCCTGTTTCCTCAATTCTCGACAAAGTCCTTTCGCTCTCAAGACCTCGACCGAAATACCGAACACCTACGCAAATTCCGCATCCAGCTGTTCCCAAATGTCTGCCACCACCCAGTCTACCTGCCACGTTCGCCACTCCAAGGGTTTGTCAGAGTATGGATCATCAAGTAGCCAATTGGGCTCCGGGACCTCGAGCTCGACAAAGTCCCTTGGGCGCATATCGTAGTTGTCAATGTAGAACTTGGAACTAAAGTCAGCGCCGTCCATGAGCGCAGGCAATGGCCCTTCGTTAAGCCAGCGGAGTTTGGGCGGGTGATTTTGCGGGGAGGGTGACGCCGGACGGCCACCGGGGGATTGTCAGCTCAAGGATGGGGCACATCGCGAGGAACTGACCGAGCCACCGGGGATTTGGTGACCCGTCCCATGTCTCGACCGTGAGTGCACGCAGGGCTGGCCATGCAACCTCGTTGCCATGCTGCTGAAGTAGATGGCTATTCCCCTCGGTATAGATGAGCTGCAGGGAGGTGATGTTGCGGCTGAGACATTGAAGGAATGCCAGGCCGTTGCGACCAAAGCCAACATCTTCGAGGCGCAAAGTGCGGAGGTGAGAAAATAATGGGACCTCCCATTCTTCCGGTACTATGATCCCATGCTCTTCTTCACTTGCTCCTGTGAAGCCCCCGAGAATCTCGAGATATTCGAGATTTGGTAGGGAAAAGGCATTGGTGAAGGTGTCGAAACCTCCCGTGTCTGCTGAGTAGTAGTTTCTGTAGTAAAATGGCACCCTGAAACTGACTGCAAGGGATTTTATCGTAGGGGCATCAATTGGATCACTAACTGGCGCAATCTCAGGGTAAAATCCCCGGATAACTAGGGTTTCCAGTAGTGAGGATCCCCCTAATATCCGACGGAATGCAGGTGCAGCCCAATTTCCACTCTCGAAGCTAATGTCCAGGGCCTGGAGAGTGCGGAATGCGGTAGAATCGGAAAGATCCAACCTCATGTTCACTCTGAGCGAACAGAGAGATGTGCTTCTGAACAGCTGCCAGGGCAGAACCGAGGGTTGCGGTGTTGGGTTGGAATAGTAGGAATGTACATCCACCAACGATATATGAACAGATTGAAGTTGGGATGCACCGGGGGGAGTGGGAAAGAAATTTGTACAGTTGGTGCACCTGGTGCCTCCAGCCACGAAGAGCGAGCGTTCGCCAGCGGCGGATATGGGGGGCCCACAACAGACAGAGCCTTGCGGAAACGCAGGGCTCGAGGAAGGCTGTAAGAGTCGAAATTGATGCTAATGTCGAGTGGGTGCAACCGCGAACACTCCAAAAAAACAGCCGCCCATGTCCAGGACAGCGTCTGGTACGAAAGGCGAATGGTGGTCCAGAGGCCCAGTGAAGCGACAGTTACGGCATACCATCAACGACTGACGCAACTAGCCGCTGTGAGGTGTGACCTCAGGCTAGAGTGTGCAGCCGGGTTCATCTGCTCCAAGAACGGTAGCTTAGCTCAGTGGTTAGACCCTCGGGTCAGAGCATCTTAAGTGTAATGAGAAGGTCCCAGGTTCGATTCGTGGAGCAACCATTCTTTTCCATTTTCACACACCAAGGCAAAAGGCATTGTCACACTTGGAGCCCACTAGTAGGGATGGTTAGAATGTCACATCGTTGTGACAGGCCATCAAAAGAATTTCGAGACTTTGCTGATTTGGTGATGTGTGACTGGGAGTCACAATCAAAATGTTGTGATGGGGTGTGAGGTGTGACCTCAGGCTAGAGTGTGCAGCCGGGTTCATCTGCTCCAAGAACGGTAGCTTAGCTCAGTGGTTAGACCCTCGGGTCAGAGCATCTTAAGCGTAATGAGAAGGTCCCAGGTTCGATTCCTGGAGCAACCATTCTTTTCCATTTTCACACACCAAGGCAAAAGGCATTGTCCACACCGCGACGGGGAACGGTAGCGCCCCGGGGTTCCATCCGAGAAGCGCCGGCGAGTCGGCCACCAGTTGCAGAATCATCACTAGAACATGATCTGGAAGGTTTTCAACAGGGGGTTGGGGCTTCCGGTCCATGTACGAGTTGCATAATAGAACCCGCTATTTGTATGCATACGCAGTGTCGTTGCGGTTCTGCGACTGACTCGAGTCGACGATCAGATGTTTCTCCCAGCGCCGCAGTGTATTCAAAGTTATAATTGAGACCTGCAACTGATGTTTCGACTCAATTCACCGTGAATTGAGACTGACTCGAGTCGACGATCAGATGTATCTCCCAGCGCAGCGGTGTATCCAAAGTTATAATTGAGACCTTCAACTGATGTTTCGACTCAATTCACCGTGAAATGAGTGTGAAATGAGTCGAAACATCAGAATCTTGGGTAGTCATCAAAGGCGAAATTGTTTCAAGCTCGATAGAGAAGGCAGGGTTCCGGCTGTGAAATGATGGAGAAAGGAGTCCATAATCGCACAGACTCCAGAGGTCTGGAGCGGTAGACATCATCAGAAGCAGTGTTGATGGTGTCCTCGTCTAGGCCAGATCGCGTCGCCTGAGCCATGCCGTAGGTATCCAGCTCTTTTGGTCGTTGAACAGAACTTTCAAACTGCAAGGGATATTCAGGTTGAAATTCAGCTATGGAAGGTCCAGTGGTGGTGTTCAAGTCAGGCCTGAGCCGTGTCCGATAACGTCGAGAGAGAATTTTTTGGGCGGATTCGAACATAGTTTGTTTTGTCATGGCATGCGAGCCTGGAATGAGGCGCGGAGCGGGTTGGTGGTGGATGATTCACATTTCAAGTTGTTGCTGCTAGCCCGACCATTGGGATTAAACAGAAGGCGTTTGCTTGATATCAAGCCAGAGCCACGCATCGTCCAGAATTCGGAATATTTTGGCCGTTAAACTGCTCAAAGTGTGAGGTATATTCTCAAGTCCGGAAAGGCTCGGTGGCTGACAATGGTTCACATCTGTTTCTGGTTCAGAATATTCTCCTCTGCACGGAAAGAACCTGTTCGAATCAGGTCTGAGGCGTTCCTGCAAGCTGCGACGATAAAAAAAGAGAATATTGAACACAAACCGGGATGTATCCATGCTAAAGTTGAGACGACCGGGGTGATGGATTGCGCACATCTGTTTCGCCTATTTTGCTGCATACCGTTCAGGCAGAAGAAGCCTTGAGTCACTGGTCAATAATTGTGAGTCTTTTGGACAATCGGACGGCTCGAGCTGCGGTGTATATCGAGGTTGAAATCGGGATAGTAAAGGTTCGGGGGTGGATGGTCGACATCTGTCTTTGTTGGTTTTCGTTGGTCTTCGAGCTTCAAGCAGAAGAAGCCTGTTTGATTCAGGCCCAAGCATAAGAAGCGAGAGAAGCTTTTTTGGATCATTGAACTGCTCAAATTGCAAGACATATCCAGGTTGAAATTGGGACAGGAAAGGTTTGGTGGTGGATGGTCCACGTCTGTCTGATGTACGAAGGAATGCTTCCGACTTCAAGCAGAAGACGCCTGTTCGAATCAGGTCCGAGCCATGAATGTATGCTGTGGTAGCTTTTTTTCACCTGCAGAAGAAGGTTTATCGACCATTTTTTTTCGCTTTTTTCGCTTTCCCTCCTGCTGCAGCGCCCGGGACCTTGATTTTGAGAGGCGGGGTAACACCTTCATGACGTCTCTGTGAGAAAGCACCATCCAAGATGGACTCTGGGGTGCCTTCTCGCATCTAGTCTTTCAGTTTGAGAGAGTTAGCAAGGCTGATATTGATTTTGACATACCGCGGCGAAGATGTCATGGTGCTCATCTATAGTACCCAGACCCATTGACTTACTCTTCCCGCACACAGCTAACCATGATGTGAAAAAACACCAGTCTGGTGAGCCATCAATCTTCTCTTTAGTCATGTAAAGCCACACACCAAACAACATCAATTGCAGTTCTGGGGATTTTTTGTCGAGAGCTTGATGCCAAAGGCTCGATGTCTGCATTTATGACCTGTATATTCTGTATCTGACAATATTCAGTGTGAAGTCCATTCAGAGTCACGTCGCCTAGAATAAAAATTTTGAGATTGATGGGCCTGCAATACAAATAAAGGGGCCTGATTGGGCCTGAAATCCCCTAACTTGGAGAGGGATTTGAAAATTTTGGCCTCAAATCCCCTAACTTCGGAGTTACCCTTAGGTGAGCTTCCCGGGTCCTTCAATCACGCGCTACTTACAAATGTACGTGATTGGTAAGCAACAGGTACAATTTGTAAGCATCTGCATTTCGTCTCCATATACCGCTGAATGCTTCCCCATCATCATTTCCCACCATCATCATGGTCAAACAGGGATACAAGAATACAATTTTATTGGTCAGCTCCGTCTCAATGAGACTCTGGTAAATAAGACTAATCTAGATCTACCATGCTATCATAAGTAAAATAAAGCAAGTACTTATAATACTACAGGGAAGCGCCGACAACAGCGCAGCCCAACAGGCTCCTATCAGTCCCCTTACTTGAGGTCATTCAATTCCGGATGTCGAACATGACAGCATGATACCCATGACCACTTCGGGGCTTATTTTTGGCCGGGACCGGGGTAACTCGCACCATAATCCGTGCCCTGCAGTGAGTTGTATTTACGTAAATGTGTATGTACGTTTTGCCGAAGTTATGATCCCTGAGCCTTGATCCAGAACTAATTCAGAACGGCCAGAGGAAAGCGGCTAACCTTGTCTAGAGCCCAAGACTACGAGGCGCCATGACCGTCACCGGGGATGGATCAGCCAGAAGTTGCTCTCTCGACGGCATGATGTCCTCAATCATCACCATCGACCAGTGATAAGTCACTTAGTACCCAAGACATGACAGATTTTGTACTGAGACCCCAGGGGCGCTGATGTATCATTCTTTTTATCTTTGTTCTGCGCACCAGGGGTCATAGTTCGGACCTTGTCGCTATGTGCGTTGTTGCTATCAACTTCGATTCGGATGGTGGGTAACACCGAGTGTCTAGAATAACAGAAAATATGATTGCGAAAGCTTTCAATTCAGTTTTGCAACAGCGCGATAAAATATGGTTGCTGCAGCCACAAACTTTCAATGTATTGCGAACATATTAGTACGATAGGGGGAATTCAATTTTATAAAGCGGGTAATGCCGGTGAGAAAAAAACCAGAGGCGGAGGGTATGGGGTGGCCGACTGATACAAGCTGATACAACATCTTGAACAATCAAACTTGGCACGGCGTATCACGGTGCCCATTTGATCGGAGCTGAATAAATGGACCGAGTGTGAAGCATCAGACTTGTGTCCGTTCTGATTTCAGCGACCCATAATTGCTCGTATAAAGCAACTTGATTTGAGGGCGATGGTTGCATTGCCCCCCATTATCGCAGCAGCAGATGGAAAAATCTTACCTTTCGTCCGGCCCACAAGATCTGAACTCAGACTTGGCCGTTATCGGACACGAGGCTATAGAACCACAAACTATATCTGAACTGGACTCAAAAATCCTCAGCCGCAAATGCGATCTGGATCAGCATACTCTACCTGAAAAATCCAGACTTGCCTGCCAGAAAACCTCGGAGCCACAGAGCTATCGAGCGTATCTGATTCAGGCTCGGAGAAGTGTATTGCATTGCTGCCAGGTGAGACTTACCATTCAGCACGTGAATACTAGCATTTACAATATATTGAGTAGATGAGCCTGAAGCATTGAACGTGGTGCCTGTTCAAGAAGCTGGCTATCTACAGAGATATTGGCTGTCATATTTGTGCTTACTTCTGCACATCATGCTAGTGTTCGGTCACATCGGACTGTTCATCAGTACCATCAAACACTGGGAGCACCAGTTTACCTTCCCTGTCGAGAATCAGACAGTAGTTTCATTCTGGACAACTATAATCACGCAGGGCTTTGGAACGGTAACACCGAGATGTTTGCTTGTTCCTCGTGGCTCACAATTCGCCCCTAGATTTATACCGCGATTCTGGTATTTGTTACTCAGAAGCTAGCAATGCGGCGCAACCTTCGGTCATATCAGACCTTGACGGCCACTCACGACAATATTTCATCATGGATGGGACTCGGATCCGCTCTGGCCACCCTCTATGATCAGATCTCTGTCCCTGCATCAGTCTTTGGAACACTCAGCACCATTGCATACCTTGGTTGCATTACAATTCTTCACATAAGCATACCCGCAATTCTTTCGGTGGAAACCTTTAATGCCACAGTTCAAGTGAATGCAAGCACTGTTGGGATTCCGGAATTTGCAAATTCAACATTGATCAAGTGCGTAAACTGCCACAAAGGAAATCACATTAACAATAAGCCTAGTTCAACCCGTAATTTTATGGCCACATTTCCCCAAGACTTTCTACGATGGCATCGGATGTTCAATGACTCTGAAAAGTATGGATTGTTAAATGGTAGTCTCTATGAGGTGTTGCAGGATACAACACCTGGAAGGGGAATAGCTCAAGTCTCAGCTATGGGATTCGATGTTACCTGTGGTCATCTGCCTGCATCTGTGGCACATCTCTACGAAGAGGAAGATGTTTGGGACATCTCCCTGGGCAGTTTAGGTAATGTCAGTTTCTCTGGGATGTGTAGGTGACCTTCTTCAAGCACCACATTCATTTATTTTCTGATGTGATGTGAACTTAGTCCCAGCCCTGCTCTCGGTGTTACAAGATGGACCTTTTGAGGCACCTGCCAACTCGATTGTTATCTACACCACAAGCCCGGTCGTTGATTCTGATGGCCGCCAAGAATCTCGCCTCATCTTCAGCAACGAGTTGAAAAATGCACTCAATCTCAACATCACTGGCATCCAGTTTTTGCAGTGCTCTAGATCATTAGTTCCTCAAGTAGGAACCATAGATACCCAGGTCAACATCCTTGACAGTTCAACTCTTCACCCAAAGACCTACAAGATATACTCATATTGGATGTCAGCATCAGATATGAATTTCGACTCTCCGGATTCCACTCTTTTGGGAAGTGATCTGGTATGACACCTCAGTTTTGAGACTTCCGTATCAGTGTTGATCCCATTCCAGTGGCCAGATATGCTGGATGGATGGGGACTTGACTCCTACGACTTCCCTCGTAATGTGGACACGTAAGGATATGGCTGTTGTCTGGTGTCTTGGAATGAAATTTGACAATATTGTCAGATACCTGCAGACCTCCCTTCCTGCTGATTTCAATAATCCACATTCCGCTGATGTTCCACTGAAACTACATGACATAGAAAATGCACTATCCGCTCTTTTGGCGATGACTTTTTGGATAGGTGAATGAATCATATTTCCGAGTCAAATATACATGTATTCATCTTTGACAAGGCGGGCATGTTCAGCCTGATTCTCTTTCTATGGAACATTCCATCTCTGCGGGCTGGGGGGATCAGCCTGAGCTTGGGACAGCCCCTGTGTTGACTACAGGGAATGCAGTTACCCAGCAAGACATATTATGTGTGAGACTAGGTGTGAGTTGATCCTTTTGTTGGGAGTCTGCTTTCTGAAGCCTGATGAAGGCAAACTGGATTGCGGTAAGGAAACAACTGTTCTATGCTTAAAGATAACCAATTGATGCCAGGTTTCAATTGGCCTTGCAAGTGCAATTGTGCTGGCAATCTTGTGTATCACATTCATAGGTATCCCCTCAGCATCTAAATATCCTCGTGATGGTACTGGCTTGCTTCACAACATTTGGTTGTGGCGCAATCACCCCAATGCACCACAAGTTCTGAAACCCATAAAGACACCCGCAGGAATCAGTCTTCGCACTGCAGGTTTGATCACATTGCAGCTGTCATCGTGGAAGATAAATGAGGAGTGTCCATCTCCGATTGTAAAAAATTTCACAGAGTGACCATCTATGTGCAAAACAATTCATTGCCAACTTCACCCAGAGCAAATGAAGGTATTGTATGCCATATCTCCTGTATTTATATGCACACTGGTTCTTCCACAGATTCGCCGCCCTCAGTCCATTGGCACAACAGGATTGTTGCCATCCCAATGCATGTCCTGCTTATTGTGGCCCATGTTTCTCTTCTTGTCCTCGGACTGGCACAAAAGGAGCACACTGTGGTATTCTCAACCCATCATCAGCATGCTGTGTCCTTTTGGTACACAGTTGGAGCACAGGCATTTGGAACGGTATGAAGATTGTGTTTGAAACACAATCCTATCTGATATACCACCCAGAGCTATTATTCTCTGCTTGTCTACTCTGTTCAAAATGCAGCAACAACCTGTGCATTGCAGAAATACTCCACTCTCACCTCTATTCATGATGAAGTCTCTGCATGGGCAGGAATTGGATCTGCAAGCTCCACCCTGTTCCAACAATTTTCTTTGCCTGTCTCATTGTCCGAGTCATTTCAATATGGCTATACCTGGCATCCATTTTGATCCTCAATGTAACAACTCCGGCATTATTCTCAGTGGAAGCCTTCAATCTTCCAGTTGTGTTCACAAGGACGCCGCCAGCGTCGGAATCGGGCCTCGAGGACGGCACCGAGGCAAAGTG